TTAAGAACGTCGGTACTAGCTTGAAAATACGGATGTATATTTAATTGCAGTGCTAAGACTTAGAAATATGTTTCAAAATTAAGGATTATTTCCCTCATACATAGATTTGATCGACGTATTTGGATCTAGTCTTAGGTACGCCTTTTTCAGCTCTTTAATTTTTTTTTTAATTTAAATATTTTGGATTCCCAACGTTTAGGCATAAACATCACTGAAGAGACATAATTTGTCTAATTGCGCATCTGGTGCATCAAAATTAATACCGTATAAGATTTACATTATGACCCCTGGGTCAAGGCATCTGCTGGTGGACCGTTAGTCCATGAGGGTCTCTACAGCCCAGTAGCTAAGTACTTCGGCACTAGCTTGAAAATACGGGTGTATATTTAACTCCAGTGATAAAATTTAGAAATTTATTTCAAAATTAAGGGTTATCTCCCTCATGCATAGCTTTGATCCTTCGACGTCTTTAGCTGCAGTTTTTGGCAACCTTTTTTCAGGTATTCAAAGTTTTTTTTTTTTTTTTTTTTTTTTTTTTTTTTTTTTTTTAAATGTAAAAATTTCGTTTAGGCATGAGCATCACTGAAGAAACATATTTTGTCGAAATGTGCATCTGGTGCATCAAAATTGGTACGCTATAAGATTTACATTATTTCAGTGGGTTTGATGGATGATAGTTTACTTTCATAGTCTGTATTAATTTTTTACAGGTCATCTACATGTATATATCCCCTTAAGCTTTACATTATTGTCAGCCAGAATTGAGGCCCCTGTCTCAAACAAAACAAAAAAAGAAAACAAAAACAAAACAAAAACAAAACAAAACAAAACAAAAACATGTTTGCTGTTGTTCATTTCCTTATAGACCGCCCATTTTCTTATAACAATTATCACAGTAAAAGTCACAGTAATTTATAAGTTCCACGATCTACATTTAAACGATTTAAATCTCTAATATGAATGATGCAAACCATTTTAACTGAAGCATTGGATTGAAATTGAATACATCGAACAGTTAACAATGTCAAGAATGAAATAAACATTACAGAATGAGAGTAGATCAGGATTGGACCCCTGGTGCAAACCTCAGAGGTATGATCAGGTCCCACGAAGGAGTTAGCAACTCCTGTCAACAAATCACTACCGCCGTAAATTCTTTGACTTGCTCATGAAATCATAATCACAGAAGAAAATTTAAGTTGTACTTATTTTTAACACATTAGTTTAATCACTTGCATGAAATATATGGAGATAACGAACAGTATTCAAGATCAAAAGTCCATTAAACAATACAAAATAGGAGCAGAGCAAACACGGACCTCCAAACATCAGAGGTGGCATCAGGTGCCATGGAGGAGTGACCATCCCCTACCGACCGGTCACACCCGCCGTGTGCTCCTTGTCATGATCGGAAAAATCCGTCGACAATTCAGTGTGTAAATAATGGCCTAACAATTAGTATGAAAAACATCAGTCAGCATTTGACTCAATGATAAATTATATTTCCTGACAAGGTCATTGTATCGACCATAGGACTTACGAAATGATGACTTTAAACGAGACAGTTGATATTCTTGTTTCATCAACTTATTTGTCAATAATTTTTAGAAATTGTACATACGTAGAGCATGCTCTTGCGTATCGAATCAACTGAGAGATACATGTATATACCCCGTAATCACTTGCATTTAAATAAACATACTTTTACTACATTGAATATAAAATAAGTGAGATAATTTTCTTCAACAAGAGGCCCAAGGTCCTTAACGGTCACCTGAGTATAATACAACAATTTAGAAGTTAAATACACTGAGGGATGAAGCTTTGTTGCCCTAAAGCAAGAGAAGTAGGAAAATCAGGATCAACAAAATAATTAGTCTAGTATTCAGTATCAACTCATAACTTAAGTTCTAATCTGTCCCCCCTCCCCCACTTAATATTATCACCATGCAGACTATTAACAAACTATTAGTGCTTCTGTACTATTTTTAAACCCATATTAAGACCTCTAGCATTGACCTCTCTTATGGTCTTTGAAGAACTTGTAATAAGATAAGTTATTTTTGTCTCGTTTTTATTTATCTATTACTTACAGGTCTACCTGATTATTAAAACTAAGAAAGTACTTTTTGAATTATACAATAAACATTCTTGCATAATTATCTTATTCTATTAACCTTTCAAAAACATTATTTACAGTGATGAATGGAAAAGGGGAATAACTTCTCTCAGTAGAATACAAATTAATAGAGCCCTGCCCAGGACCAGAATGCTTAGACGAATTGTCCAGATGTTCAAAAATCTGGTAGAAATACGCTTACTTATATCATTTAAACTTTTACTCAGTTTGCTTTCGATATGCCCAGAAACAGAGAAGAATTTCACAGGTACAATGCATTTTCACTACAGATTCAACAAAGCCTTACCCTAACACCAGAAACCAAGACCAAAGGTCAAGAAATTTACAAATTTGGAAGAGATACCCTCATCATCATAACTATGGACTTCAAAGAATTAACACTTTTCCACTATATTATCAAAAGCCCCCCCCCCCCTCCTCGTTATGCCAGAACCCCTGACCCTAGGACCACAAGATTTAAAAATTCTGTTCGAAGCTCCCATCTTCATCATAGCTAAGCAATTTATTTATCAGCTCAACACTAAGGAGCATACAGGATTAGTTAATGATTAATTAATAGAATTAATGCATTTTCACTATTTAATCAATAGAGCCCCCCTCCCCCCCCCCCCTCCTCAAGAACCCCAAAAACTGAGGCCATGTATTTAAAAATTTTGGAAGAGGCATCCTTGCCTATCATAATCATGCACTTAGTTTGTTTAAATAATCTCCAGTAGCAGAGGAGAAGATTTTCATAGAATCAATGCATTTTCACTATATAATCAATAGGGCCCCGCCCTAACACCGGAACCCCTGACCCTGGGGCCATGAAATTCACAATTTTTAAAAAGGCATCCTTATGCATCATAACCATGCACTTAGTTTGTTTAAATAATCTCCAGTAGCAGAGAAGAAGATTTTCAAAGAATCAATGCATTTTCACTATATAATCAATAGAGCCCCACCCTAACACCAGAACCCCCGACGCTGGGGCCATGAAATTCACAATTTTTGAAAAGGCATCCTTATGCATCATAACCATGCACTTAGTTTGTTTAAATAATACCCAGGAGCAGAGAAGGATTTTCAAAGAATTAATGCATTTTCACTATATAATCAATAGAGCCCTGCCCTAACACCAGAACCCTTGACCCAGGGGCCATGGCTTTCACAATTCTGGAAGGGGCCCACCTCCTCATCATAACTATGTACTTAGTTTATCACCTTAATGCCCAGGAGCAGAGGAGAAGATTTTCAAAGAATTAATGCATTTTCACTATATAGTTGATAGAGCCCCGCCCTAACACCAGAACCCCTGACCCTGGGGCCATGACATTCACAATTTTGAAAGAGGCACTCTTGCTCATCATAACTATGTACTTTGTTACTTTATTTAATACCCAGGAGCAGAGAAGAAGATTTTCAAAGAATTAATGCATTTTCACTATATAATCAATAGAGCACCGCCCTTACACCAGAACCCCTAACCATGGGGCCATGAATTTCACAATTTTGGAAGAGGCACTCTTGCTCATCATAACTATGTACTTAGTTTATCACCTTAATACCCAGGAGCAGAGAAGATTTTCAAAGAAATAATGCACTTTCAATATATGATCTATATAGCCCCACCCTGGGGCCAGAACCCCTGACCCTGGGGCCATGAATTTCACAATTTTGGAGGAGGCACTCTTGCTCATCATAACTATGTACTTAGTTACCTTATTTAATACCCAGGGGCAGAGAAGAAGATTTTCAAAGAATGAATGCATTTTCACTATATAATCTATAAAGCCCCGCCCTAACACCAGAACCCCTGACCCTGGGGCCATGAATTTCACAATTCTGGAAGAGGCACTCTTGCTCTTCATAACTATGTACTTAATTACCTTATTTAATACCAGGAGCAGAGAAGAAGATTTTCAAAGAAATAATGCACTTTCACTATATGATCTATATAGCCCCACCCTGGGGCCAGAACCCCTGACCCTGGGGCCATGAATTTCACAATTTTGGAGGAGGCACTCTTGCTCATCATAACTATGTACTTAGTTACCTTATTTAATACCCAGGGGCAGAGAAGAAGATTTTCAAAGAATAAATGCATTTTCACTATATAATCTATAAAGCTCCGCCCTAACACCAGAACCCCTGACCCTGGGGCCATGAATTTCACAATTTTGGAAGAGGCACTCTTGCTCTTCATAACTATGTACTTAATTACCTTATTTAATACCCAGGAGCAGAGAAGAAGATTTTCAAAGAAATAATGCACTTTCACTATATGATCTATATAGCCCCACCCTGGGGCCAGAACCCCTGACCCTGGGGCCATGAATTTCACAATTTTGGTAGAGGGCTCAATGCTTATTACAATGATGCCAACAGTTTGACTGCTTGATGTCCAGGAGTAAAGAAGAAGATTTTTAAAGATTGCATTATTTTTGGTGGTTTTAGCCCCATCCCTCAGGCCCCGGGGGGGGGGGGGGGGCAGGGACCATGAAATTCACAATTTTTGTTTCCCTTCATCCATAGATGCTATATGCCAAATTTGGTTGAAATTGGTTGAGCGGTTTCAGAGAAGAAGCTAAAAATGGTCAAATGTTAACGCACGACGCACGACGGCGGACGAGAACGGATAGCAATAGGTCACCTGAGTGACTCAGGTGACCTAAAAATACGTATCAAATTCATGTCACTATACAATTGTATAATAGTATTCTAAGAGGTAATTTTGTTATGAATGAAAAAATTACAATGCTTTTGAAAAGGAGTTGAAATTCATTATTTCTACATTTAATAACGTAGATCTTGAACATGAAATAAAATAAAAATTGAGGCTAACAACTGTAAAAATGTATTTACAATTCAATGCAAAACTTTATTTGTTTGTGTTACGGAGATATTTGTACACAGTGGCAGTGGAACTTCTCCAATATCCAACCCAGAGATTATGTTGATCATCAACACAAAGAGCACAAGGTTTGTACGGACATTGATCTGGTGTGAGTAGAAAAGAAATGAACTGACCATTGTGGTCCAACAGGTGGACACTGGAGTGATTCTCGTTAGAATAATCAGAACCATTACACACTATGATATGCCCAAGGATATCTGTGCAAATTCCATATGGATCGAATCTAGACTGAGACTGGTGACCAGAGTAAGTGAATCTGTAGTCTCCCAATCTGGTCACAACCACCACCTTTCCGTTGTCTGATGTACAAATGTCACCATTTATATTCTCTGTTATGTAATATATACCCTGGTATAGCCTTTGACCTTTAGTATCCATCTGAATATCTAGGAGCTTCCTCCCTTCCTCATTGTACCGAGTGATTCTTTTGTGTTCTTGTCTTCTCATCCCCACCAATATATGTCCATTGATATGAGAGGAGTAGATAGCTTCTGGTACCCAGTTCCCTGTGCTTATTATCTTTTCATTTACCATGCCACTGCTCGCTCTGTAGACGGCTCTTTTTAGTGTATCTGTGTAAATTAGTTTTCTTTCTTTTGTGACTGCGTGATTACCTGGGACACCACATGTGTTGATCTTTATTTTTTGTGAGATTTTTCCTTTCAAGTCAGACTCAATAAGGTTTCCTCTGTAATCACTGGCCCAAAATTTATTAGAAGTCATGGAAGATAAATGACAAATCTCACTTAATTTAGGGAGAGCAACTTCTACTGCTATTGTGAAAGAAGTGGAAAGTTTCATGGCCGTTTTACTAAGCTTTTCTTCAAATGATTCTTTTTTTACTTCACCGAACTGTTTGGCTAATTCTTCTTTGTTAATTGTACCCGGAATGAACACTGGAAGTGATATCGGTGTGAGCTTAGGCATCTTCAGCTTAACTATTGACATATTTGTGTGGAATTCTATCAGTTCAGTGAGTTTTATTGATGACATTTTACTCTCATAGTCTATAACTATTTTTTGCAGGTCATCAATGTAATCATCTGTATTCTTCTGTTGTTTTTTCAGATCTTGTAAAATAGATTTTTCAATTTTGTCCAACTCTTCATTACTGACAGCCAGTATTGAGTATGCGGCTTTCTTCAATGCGTCGGCTCTCTTTTTCATGCATAACCTCAACTTTAAAATTTCTTGCTTGGCATTTTCTTCTCTTTCACAAAAGGAGTCACGATGTTTTTCAGCATTAGGAATAACCGTTCTCAAAATATTAGTATGTTCCTTCTGACATTGCAGTAGAATGTTATTGTAAACAGTTTCAATGTCACTCTTTTCATGATCACTGTGTTCTCGGGCAAAGCATGCAGGACAAACAGGAATCTGACAACCGTCACAATAGACATTTAAATCTGCATTGATGTGGATCTGACAATTTTCTGAGGGACGTTTTCTCTTTCTCTCAAGAAAAGAAACTACATGATGCTTTCTATTAGTCATTTCCTTTAGATGTATCTCTCTGCACAAGCCGCACATTCTCTGATAACAGGTATTGCAGTAAAATTCAGAGTAGTTTCTGCATAACTTGTTGTCACACTCTATAAAATGCTGGGCAGTATCTGGTATTTTGTCCATAGTTTTCAATGGAATAGCTGAAATTACAGGTATTTTTAGCATCCAGGCAACATATGACAATATAATTATTTAAGGTAAAACATTGAATGTAAGGATAAGCTAATATGTCTCTTACGGACAATTAAATATAATGTACAATCATTTTACACTTACTATTCCACTAACTCTAGTCTACCAGTCAATGTCTGCAATCTGTAATGCTTATCATCTTTTAACGACAGGTAGAATGTTATCTATTTTTTTTTGTAATCCATTCAAAGGTATTAAATGTCTGTTTTGCATGAAGTGTATACATACAGGTAAACTTCGGTATCTCGACATCGCATATGTCGACAATCTGGGAATTGTTAAAGTCCGTCAGCGGTCCCGGACGTATTTACTATAAAATTGATTTGCAGAAACTCGAATATGTTATCTTCGGTTATGTTGACTACCCGACGTATATTCGAGGCCCCGAGAGCAATTGTATATGTCGACATCGGGGCAATTTTATGCTCTAATATTTACATTTTTAAATTTCTTTGGCCGAGATAAAAATACCAGATAATAATACCATGAATAAAAAAATACTTAATTTCTGTATAAAGCTACTGCGTTATAGATAGGCGTGGTTTGAAAATCACATGTGGGGAGGGAGAGAGAGAGTAAGAGAGAAAAGTTAAGGAATCAAGAACATGTAGATATAAGAAATAACCGCAAGATTTTTTGGTTTTATAATGATGATCAAGAAATTAACTTGCGTGATAAGCAAGCCAGTTGCTTAATCATATTATTAAAAAATAAACAGTTATTCCTTAACAAAACTGAACTTTTTGTCAAGCACCCTCGGCCGTCTTTGAGACGTAAATTGCTTAACAGCTTGGATAATATCGTTGATAACTCCTCATCAGCCCGCGTAAATATACAAACGTCATTTATCATTAAATTATAATGAAACCTATTATAAATTTGATTTGAAAAAGGCAACTGAATAACATAAAATAACAAAAACAATGAATTGAATTCAATATATTATGTAAGAAAAACGATTTATTTCATGATATATTTTGTTAAAAACGCATTCATCGGATAACAATCCAATAAACGACACAATTCAATGAATAACCCGTGATTCATGCATATATAAATTTACTGAATTAGTTCAAGTACATGTAATGTTACTACAAGTTAAGGGAACTTGACGATGGAATAGCTGAAGTCACCCCGTTTGTCATACAGTTTGCATATTATCTGACCATAAATAGTACCATCTATAGTCAGTTAAACATCCAAATATGAAACAGATGTGGATGACTCTGTGGTACGTGTCTTTTATTTCGAAGTCACTGGGATATATTAAGTCCATACAAATATTGACTGAGATTAAGGGCAACCTTGCTAGCACCCAAGGGATGAAATATTGCCTGGCATGGAGCGTTGGATAATATTTTTGTCCCGAACATTATTAATTTTGCCCGAAAACACTGTCAAAAATTGTTTTGTTATATGAAAACCTAAACAAATCAATAAAAAAAGCATATTTATTGTGACGTCATGTTTTTGGAAGTGGCGAGGGTATCATTACACACAATACCCCAATTCACAATTCAAATCAATAGAAATGTGGGGAAACTCTCTTTGCCGGTCAATAGTAAAAATTAAATGACCGTTAATATTTTGGAAAGAACAATATTAATTATGTTGCCTGTTTCTCTGTATAGAGAATATAGAGAGTATTCTTTACTGAATATGACAAATCTATATGTAGAGTTGATGGACACAGGAAAAGTTGTCTTTTTCTCATGTAGAAATTGTTTGAATAAATTCTGCTTCATAGGTAGCCCTGGTATCCAATAACTACATATATATGTCAATGAGGATCTCCAACATACTTTTAATATCAACTTCTGAGTACTTCTGACTTCTACTTCTGAGTATGATTTTTAATGAAGTTAATTGTGTAGATGACACCTCAAAAGATATGGAAATTTTCGAGTTCCACTTTTGTTGAGGAAGCAGTTGTCTATGATGCAAGAAAGCCTCCTATTTCATTTTTCGTGAGGAATCATTGGAAAATCGTAGTCAAAAAATGTATCTAGCTCTCACTTACTATAAATCATTCATTAATTTGATTTTGAAATGTTGTAAAAAAGAATTACATACATATTTCTTCCATTCAAATAATGAAAAAGTCATTATAACATTTTTATTCCATTTGAGTTCAATGTTTTCAGCTATTATACTATATTTCTTTTTCATATCACAAAGCAAGTTAAGCGTACGTCCTAGTCATTGCAGTGTCCATTGCTGTCCACTCAATAGTTTATCATAAAATGTTTAACCCATTTCCATGGCTTATAAGATGTAATGCTTTTTGAAGGACTATCTATTTTTTTTTTTGTTTATCCAATATCCCAGTTTTTTTTTCAGATCTTGTGATGTAAGACTTCGATGCAGAGATTGTATTTGTCGTCAAGACAGAAAAACATGGGGTTTATTTAGACATTGATATGGTTTAAGTATAAAAGAAATTAATTGGCCAACTTGGTCCAGCAGGTGGACACTGTCCAGAGTTATTATAATAAGGGTAGGCGATAGACATAGTTATTGCACACTTTGATACATGAGTAGGATTTCTCCACTAGCCAGCTTTCCCCCCGGAATCTGTACTCTAGAGTAGGGCTTCTTTCAGGCGGGAAATCTCACACTAGAGCCAAAGTTCCCCTCTTTTATTCTCAGAGTAGGGTTTCCCCTCATTCATCAATACTAAACTCATGTCGAAAATATTTGGGCTAAAGAATGATAAGAAAATTAACTGATTTTTAAATGGAAAATGAGCGCTTTCGACTCAAGAATTGGTTAAATTTAGTATGAAATCTATGAATATATCGTTCAAAACATTGAGTATCAACCCCAAGATTTTAAATCATAAGAAATTGTAAAAACATTCGCTCAAAAAAAAATTTTAGACTCGATGTCTCAACTCCTCTCTCTCCCGACGCAGTGGTACCTCTTTGTTCACTAATTTTAAAGTGTGTATCAGGCCACCTTTAGCTATTTGATATTTTGCACTCTACAGGCCCAGTACGTTATCTATGTATCGATATGCTTTTTACATAAAGTGTGTGAGAAAATTCTACAATTTATGTTTTTTATAGGTTGTATTGAATTAAATTGAGTAGTTCTTCCAAGGGGACAAAAGCTAAAAACAAAAACAAAACAAGAAATACTGTTTTTGCATGCCAAAGCAAAATTATGTCCCCTCGACCCCAGCGGTAAAATATTGGATTTGAAAGCAGGAAGCAAATACTTTAAGTTTTGCAAAATTCATATTTTTAGAAATAAATTATTCCATTCTATTTCCTAGGAAACAGCAGCTATTGTAGAACCATTTTAATTCGTTGAGGTCCGTGACCAAGCAAAATTTAACTGGTACGTTTGGAGGTAATTTTGTGGCTTATTACTCTTTTAATTACATTTATTTATGATCTCTAGGTCGAGTCATCTGCTGGTAGACTGTTAGTTTCCGAGGGTCTCTACAGCCCAATAGCAAGTACTTCGGTACTAGCTTAAAAATATGGATATATATTTAATTGCTGTGGTAAAAATTAAGAAATTTATTTGAAAATTTAGGAATATCTCCCTCATGCATAGCTCTGATCCTATTGATATTCTCCTGTTTCTTCTTATTTTTTTTCTATTACTTTTCCGCTGTGTGATTTTGAGTTTTAAGATTTATCGAAAAGATTTATAGCCCGTAAGAATGTACTCCTTAAAAGAATTTTTGCAGTTGACCTGCATATATGAACATTGACCCCTCAAGGAGCTATTACCCCTTTTGCAATAAAAGCTTGTCATCGCTACTCCTTCGAAACCGTAAACCATAGAGATATGAAACCTTCACCAATGTCTTCGACTAATTTAGTAGACTCCTCAATTTATTCAGTCCGAAGAAATTCATCAACCACTTTCAAAAATTATTACACCTGAAAGTGTTTGAATTTTACGAATAATTTAAAATTGTCAAAATGACAAGTCATAGAGACATGGGACCAACTGTATTACATTCTTTGACCTTACATCTTAAAAATTGGGTCAAAGGCAATGGTCAATGTCGTTAAAAATATGAGAAATTCATCTCTTTTTCTATCTCTTGTGTCTTTTAATATATAGTATATATATTTGCGCCATTAATATATTACTATGTTCTTTTAAAACTATTTTAAAGATTTCATTCTTGTTCTCTATGATTGGCTCGTATAAAAGTTATTGTCCCTTTCAGTATAAACAGTGTTATTGCTACTCTGATTTCATAAATCGTGGAGACACCAAACATTCACTAATATCTTAGGTTTCTCAAGATTAAACTTCAATCTGTTCAGTGCAAAAGAATCCCATGACCCCTTATGTAAGTTATTGCCCTTTGATGTTTTTGCAAACTTAAAACTTTTAAACGAATAGTCGTTGAAACATGGACCAACTGCAATATGATCCTTGAACTTTGAGCTTGAGCACATTGACAAGGTCAATGTTCATGGCCACTTTAAATTTCTTGAAAACTTTTATCTTTGCAAACATTTAAGCGATTTTTGGGTCCCTCCTTTTAAGGAAATTTAACTTTAGAGAGTTAGATATTACAAAAATGAAATTTAAAGAAGGTGAAAATACCTCTTATTGTTGGAGAACAATTAGTCTACTAGCTATTATTATTATTATTAAGAAGAAACCAGTCTGACTGGATGAAAAGAATTAGACTAAGAACTTTAAAAGATGTGGTTGGACAATTACTGAGAAAAATGAAATTATAAATTTTTATACTTCATATGTTTCAATGAGATTGGTCACGATTTAGAGAATTTTAAATACTTATTGCACAATTAGACTTTATGATTATGATTTTGTAAAGTTTCAACCAGATGGGTTCATGAGAGGACCTGTGGGAAAATTACAAAAGGGACACTTTTAACAACATGTCGCCCCTGCCCCTCATACATAGGTACAGTCATAATATTTTAATAGGT